TTCAGTCGGGTTGTAGATCTGTTTTAGCGAAAAAATCGAGACTTTGAGATTATTCGCTTGTACGAATAGACAACCCTGTTCTTAATTGTTCTTGCCATATAGCCCCACCTATAAGCATTTATGAAGATTTCAGTCGAGTTACCAAGCCAGCGATATGCTTTTCCATCTACGTTCACTGTGCGTTGGAAGATTTTTGGGATATGCAACGCGGTTCGAATTAATAGTCACCCATTCGTGATTAATTACTGTATCACCGGTTCATATAGTTATTGCCTGATACACTGTCTTCGATAGTGTCTCTAACATCTGCCCGTACTTCCTCGAGCTTAATTTGCGTTTTAGCATAAATTTTCACGGATTGTGCCTTCGTACTTCTTCCCGTAATTTATTCATAATTTATTCCGTTTTTTTATAATTGTAAGTTCAGTGTTCTAAGTGTGATGCTGCTAACAGGAATGCAAGAAGAAAAAATCGTTTTGGCCTTTTAGTGGTTGAACTCAGAGCCATAAACTGTTACGAGCAAGCAGTCAGGCATTGGAAGGTCGGGATCCTGTTCAAGCAGTCAGGCAAGCAAGCAAGCAGTCAGGCATTGGAAGATCGGGATCAAAAGTTCTTGGGTTCTAATTCCGGTCGAATCATTCGCTTCTCATTTATTGAGGTAGATAAATCGGTAACACTGCTTGGGAAAGAAGTCAGACTGTGCGTCATGCTTGCTACTAATTATAGGTATTGCCTTCAGAAGATCAGGAATTAATGGTATCGTAGCGGGATCTGGGCTCAGTCTTAAATTCCATGAAAGAACGATACTACAAGTTCGATCATTGTGAAAGTGTAAAGCGAGGATGTTCCAACGATTACCTGTTTTCCTTTGCTGTAATATTAAGTTTTTAGTCGACGTTTTACGTTATTATTAGATGTGACATCACAGTAAATGTAGATGTATTGCTAGTCTGTAAAGAACTGTGCGGTATCAATATCCTGTTCAACACAGGTCGAATTGTCGACTCTGCACTCTTTCGAAGTGTCGTCCTTGACTTACTGGATGTCACAAAGGGATGCGATATCCCCGCGCTTCTTGAGACTCTTTGCTATCGTATTTTGTCCTGTGTGATGTGAGACATGATTGCTAGCGAATCGCTGCGCCAAGTTTCACATACAATTTGCTGATAAATATGGTGCTGCTCCATCGTAGTCGGTTTGTCTGTCCAACCATGAAATTTTCGACCTCTCTTTTGGCCTTTTTCAGGAAGGATTCGGCACGCTACGAATCATGATGTTGATTCTCCGCTTGTCGTTCCATCATATGCATGGCCGAAGAGCGAAATTTATTTTTTAAGTTCATTCGAAGGAAAATTTATGCTAGTCTCTGCCCCATGTACTCCATTTGTGTTCGTTCTAAGAGCATTCTTGGTCTTATCAGTTTGTCCGTACCGAATATTCCGCGCCAACAAAAGCATTCAGATATGTCTAGCGCATTAGTTTCCTTGTTGCTAAAGGTCCTTGTTGCTGCAACATGCGTCAGTACTGGTCGAATAGATAATGACCACATATATGCGGACTTTCACTGACTTACTGACGGTACGTTTCCACTGATTTGCTACAACATGTACGCAATTCGATTCTTCCTGGTTTTTCCCTGAACATCTGCTTTGCATCTTCCCCGTAAATTTATCGATGTTTCATCTGGGGAAGCCATTGTTAAGCATGGCTTTTACATTTCGATCGACTCAGTCCCAACCCCTGCTTAGCGCTAGCTGTTTCTATTGCCGTTAACGTATTTTGAAGTTCTTTCGGCATCGCTGCAGTTACCGCGACGTTGTCAGCGGAATCCAGATGCTCTAACCGGCGTTTTGATGTAGTAGTCTAGCAGTACTATTTCGCTATTAAAGTTGTTGGCTGCTTATGTCATTGTAACGTCCATGCAGTAATCGAACAGCTGGCCTTTGCCGAACTCCGTTCTCAATCGGAAAGCTGTCTAATATCTTTAAATGTGCTCGAATCACCGCCGTTGTCATGGCGTATATGTTTTTCAACGTGTTAACAACTTTTTCTAGCATACCGTCATCTCTTAGTAGCTGGTACGATGGTGCTCTGGAGAATCAAAAATCACTGGCTGTTTGTAGTATCGGTTGTATGTTTCCAGCAAAAAACGCAATGTCAGGATGTGATCAATGACCAAACGGCCTGGTCTGAGGCCGCTTTGTTGTTCTCTTGTAACGTTCTCTCAATAAGGCTGAATTTGGCTGACGATAATTCTTTCAGTGACCTTCAGCGTCTCGCAGAGGAGACTGATGGCTCTGTAATTTCGGATATCCGATACAGCACTTTTTTGTGTATCGGAATAATCGTTGCTTGGCGCCCTTCTTCCAGTATTGTCTCTGTTCGCAAAATTTCCTCCTTGATGTTTGACAACAACTGTAATCCTATATTAGTCATATATTTCAGCAGCTTCACATGAACTTCATTTGGTCCAGCTGATTTAGCCCTTTTCGAGAGCATTCATAATCTCTTCGCTGGTTGGTACATCATCGCTGCAGTCATAATCAGACGTCTTACTTCGCTGAAAGAGAAGCTTTGAAGCGGCTGGCGGGCGGCGTTGGTTTATAAGTTGGTGGAAATGTTCCAGAAATCGTTCGGATTACTTAAGTTCTATGACCACGTACAATCCATCTTTCGAACTAACGAAAGACGGGCTGGTATTATTTCTTCCGTCGAATTAAAGCAAATGCTCGTCTGAGATTGTTGTATTCGAGTGCTTTTTCCATTACAGCAGCTCGTTTTAGCACAGTACTTTCGTTTCTTCAGTCAGATTACATTTCAATTCAGTTTCCGTCGCTTTCGCCGAGGTCTTGTTTCTTGCAAGCCTAGCTCTTTTCCTTTCACTCTTTAGCTTCTCAGCTCATTCTCACAGATTGAGAGGCATGTTCTCTCTAAAGTACTGGAATACTTTCATTGGCGCAGTGACTAAGCAGTTGCTGAGATCACTATACGCCGGAAGCAAATGCTTTTCCGATGCCGGACTGAACGCAATTGAGAATTTTCTCCTGATATCTGAATTTTCCTGTAGCGATGCAATATTAAGACTTGGCAACGTCTCTCAACTTCTGGCAGTAAGTTATTGCACCATCATTAAAACCACCTGCACATTATCAGACAGACAGATGAGTCTCCAAATGCTTTTAGACCGTCTCCGATGTGCTTTCAGCGGTAGCTGATGTAACTTCTGTCGTCCACGTTCTTTCCGTTATTTGATGGACAAATTCTGCGGGCCTTGAGATGTTTTTCTCTGTAAGCGTCGACTTTTCTTCAGGGCTGTCGCAATTACCAGGTTGAATCTTTCAGCGGCGCCGAAGAGCATCGATCCATTTTCTTTGGTGGTGGTTTTTGCCAGCAGGTACCATTTGCCCAAGGCGATACTCGTTTCACCGCTACCGAATTGTGCATTAGTATCTGTTCATGGATTACAAGGTTTTTCGGTGAGATGGCTTTAAATAATAGTTCAAGCTAGTCGTCGAATGCGTTCTTTTCTTGTTCTGGTAGGAGGTTATAATTCATCTTGTTCTGAACGATTCTGGGACGTTTGTCCAGCACAGTTTGAGGCTAATTTATTCTTGATCTGCTGCAATTCCTTCATAGTCTGAGAACACTGTGACTCTGCAACCATGTATTCTTTCTTCAACATTAGATCTGAATAATGAATAAGCTCTCTGACCATCTGAAGAACAATTTTTGTGAAATATTTCTTTAATCGCATTTCGTGGAGGCATGCTATCGGTGCATTAAGACCGTCAAGTTCTTTCAACAGTACTAGTCTATCTTCATCTGTCAATACTGGCAGTTCAAGGTGGCGGTATTCAGCTTTTGTAGTCGAATCAAATTCTGCAGGTACACTGAAAGTGTGTTGGGGTTTGGATATACGGGCAACTTACCATGACATTATTTGTGTTTGCACCTCTGGAAGTACAATAAGTAGCTAGAGTCCGGCCAGCTACCCTGAAAATTTGCTGATATCTCTTCTTTAACATCAGGTCTGGTATCATAGTGTGAATCCTGGAGGTACCACGTAGAGGCCATTGAAGTTAAACATTCAACCTCCCTTTCGGCACTCCCTCAGTAACTAATAATGCTGTGCTGAGCTATTTTAGCGCATTCAGTGTAGTTACAACGTATCAACGTAGTTACAAATTACTTTCCCCAGAATTAGGACAGAATGAACATATGATTGATCCCTTCTCTTTTGACGATATTCTCCATACTGGTAACGAAACATATCGAATTAAATGGATAACTTCCTGCTTGCATTTTGTTTATGTCAGGCATTCTAAATCGTTTTTGATTCAAACGATCATTGCAGTCAGGAAAGTCCAACTGAAACTAATTTTCTGCAGCGGGCTAGCAGAAATAAAATGGTCTGCTTCAGTGAACTGTGATATGTCATTGAGCAGGACCATTTTAACACATCAGAGAGTTTACGAGATTTTGTGAAACTTGTCTAGCTAATGGCAGCTTTTGCTGTTAAATTAGTGAGTAATTTTTTTGCGCCAAACAGCTTTTAATTATTAATCCTTCCTTGTTTGGCTTACGGCTTTTTATTTCAGCATACTTGCGCAGAGTTTTCTCTGTATTCTTGTGTGCCGGGTGACGTATGTGACTGGCGGCTACGGTCCTTTTTGTTTGTGTGGCCTTCATTACTATGTTC